AGAAGAAATTTTTCCTAACATCCAATCTGAATCTCCCCTGGCACAACTTGAGGCCATTCCCTCTAGTCCTGTTGCTAGATATGTGGCAGAAGAGGCCAACTTCCACCTCTCCTCAGCCTCCTTTCAGGCAGTTGCGCAGAGCAATGAGGTCTCCCCTGAGCATCCTCTTTTCCAGACTAAACAATCCCAGCTCCCTCAGCCGCTCCCTGAAAGACTTGTGCTCCAGACCCCTCAGCAGTTTCATTGCCCTTCTCTGGACATGCTCCAGGGCCTCAATGTCTTTCTTGTAATGAGAGGCCAAAAATTAAACACAATACTTGAGGTGCATCTTCAACAATGCTGGGTACAGAAGGGCGATCATGTCCTTGCTCCTGCTGACTACACTAATTTGGTACAAACCAGGATGCTGTTAGCTTTCTTGGCTGTCTGGACACACTGCTAGCTCATGTTTAGCCAAGAATCAACCAACACCCCCAGGTCCATTTCTTCAATACAGTCTTTGTGCTACTCTACCCCAAGCCTGTAGCTTTGCCTGGGGCTGTTGTGGCCAAGGTGCAGGAGCCAGCGCTTGGTCTTGTTGAACTTCATCCCATTGGCCTCAGCCCATTGACCCAGCCTGTTGATATCTCTCTGTAGGGCCATCTTGTCCCCAGGCAGATCAACACTTCCTGCCTACTTGACGTCACCTGCAAACTTACTGAGGGTGCACTTATTTCCCTCATCCATGTCATCAATAAAGATATTAAACAGGACGGGACTTGACATTAACTTTAATCTCTTCCCTACCTATTAGACTTCACAGGAATTAGGTGGCTTAAGCATGCTCCTTTTGTTGTGTTACAGTTGTTATTTACTTGTTTATTCTATAGTTGTCCTTTTCCTTATGCAGACAAAGCTTTATCAGTTGCTCTTCATGCAAGCTAAAACTTTGAGGAAGCTTTATGGATTTTGGCAGGGTGATGGTTAGCTTCCTGGTTGAGCAACAATGAACTGTCATCATCTAGATTTCCTGTAAAATGGTGTCTGATAATATTTCACTTAACAGTGGTTAGCTGCAAATTAAGGATGTAGTCATTGCCTCCAAATCTATAACTGTGGTCTCTCACCATCTTTATTGCACACATCTGCACAATGGTACTGTTGTTCATTTTTCATGTTTACAAGTGTTACTGCTTGCATTCAGCATCACAAATTATTCCCACTGTGTATATCCATGGTGTGAGAGTATATTTTTAAATCATGAGAAAGCCAGATTGTTTCCCAATCTCCTACCCCATCTCCTTCTGAAAAAAAGCTTACTTTACTTTGGAAAATAAAGGGCAAGAGAAAACTGGAAAATAAACAGTACAGGAGGCAATGGGCACAAACTGGAACACAAGTGGTTCTGTGTAAATACCAGGAAAGTCTTCTGTGCTGTGTGAGTGACTGGCATGGACTGCCCACAGAGTTTGTGGAATCTCCCAAGGTGGGATCCTTAGCGATCTCCAGAAAGTGCCTGGATATGGACATGGGCATTGTGTTCTGGGTGGTCTTTCTGGAGCAGGTGGAGTGGACTAAATAACCTCCTTAGGTCTCTTCCCACCTCCACCATTTTGTGATTCTTTAAAATCCCTAACTTGTAGTCAATAAGAGTCTTGATCTGGGGAGGTGACATCTCTTTTTCCAAGTTTTTTACACTCTTCAGAAATGCAAATACTATTTTCTTGTGACCTTGTAAAAGATCTTCTGACTCCATTTTATATTAGTATTAGCTTTGTTCTTCAAAGTAGAGGTATTGCATTTGTGATTCCTGTTTTGTAAGAAAGCTGGGTTACTTTATCTTATGGCTCTGTGGTTCTGAAGACAACTCTGATTCTTGTTTACTGGATTTTGGTCTATCTGAGCTTGAAGATCGCATCTCTTTTGATCAAGAGGACATCGCCTTCATAACTCATACTTTTTAGATACTTTAAAAAAAATATGGTGCTAATTTAAGTTGTGTGTGCACATCTTTGGCAGTGGAGGCGATAATTAAATAGAAGAATTTGAAATCAGGTTAGTAATCAGGCGGAGAAATTGGCATGAAGGGACAAGGGGGGCGAACAGTTATTTGTGTGAACACAGTACATAGAGAACAGCTGAGGACCTGACTTGTGTTGTGTGCTGGTATCACTGGAAATATTTTGGTGCCTTTGATTTTTTGTTGTTGTTGTTGAAGAATACACGTTGGCTTTGTCTGTAGTAGTAAACTGAACAGAGCCAAAGCATATGTATTCCCAGAGACCTAAAAATTATTATCTGTACTGTCAAATTATCTGAACAATATTGGGCAAGATTCTGTCCTATGCCAAGCATCCTCTCCTAAACAATTTCTTGCACTGCTGAGGAATTACTACAGTCCAGGCACTGTAGTAGGGAGCTTGGGTGTTCACACTGCTCTGAAGCCTTGCAGTGCAGAGGCCAGTTGACTTCTGTATCAGAAAACCAACTGGGGCATGTTTGAATTTTGTATGTAATTATAGCTGTTAAGAGCAAAAAGAGTTTCTGTTCGTGCTAAATACCATGTTCAGGAAAACTGGAGAGGATACTTCATTATCTTCCCGAAGAAAAATGATCAAGAATGCTGATCATTTTTACTATATCAGCTTGAAAATGTTGCTGCTGTGATGTCTGTGTGTAGGAACAAGCAGTTCCTACAAGTTGGCATGATAAGCCCCTCTGCTTTGAGAAAAGCCATAGAAACAGGATAGTGTATAGGGTGTCCTTAGCTGCGTAATTGCAGCTCTTGTGAACATCTTGGATCTTAAAGTGAAGTTGGTGTGATGCTACTAAGAGGCAGTTTTTGTTCTGCTTTCTTTTATAAAGAATAGAAATCCATCAGCTGTTTTTCAGTATGTTTTTATAGCTGATTTTGCAATGTAATAGTCATTATCACCATTTTAAATCTTTTGGCCCTTTATATGCCGTGGGTTGCCTCTTGATGTGAAATTGCAAAGGAGTTATGTGAAACGTAATGTTTGTAAAATGCTTTGAAGATGAAAAGCTCTACAGTAGGTTTTTATTATTACCAGAGGCAAAGTGAGCAGGAGCAGCTTAATGTTGGACTGTTCATTTCCCAAGAGATGGCTTTGTTTTGAAGAGTGTATGTAATCCACTGGGCTGGAGTCAGAATGATCTTATTTCAAGTTGGAATATAAATAAATTAGCAAACTTTCTATCTTGAGATTATGAGACCATGAGAGGTCTGTGAAGGAGCAGAGGAATTTTTGGTGCAGTCTCGGCTCTGTTTGAAATAACATTTATTTGGTGTGTTTGGCTTCTGCTACCCAAATGTATTTCAAATCCAATCCTTTCAAACATCCTTATCAGTGAAGCAGCGTTTTGCCACAGATCAGCTCTTTTTCTACAGCTACAATCATTTTTCGGTATTTAATATGTGAACAGTCGTGTCTGCATTTAGAAATGGCGACAGTTTATTAGAATTGGGTTTAATTTGGTTTTAATGCTCTAACACGTATAGAAAAACGTTACTTCCAGCCTGTATTGAGATCATAAGCTGATAGGTGGCTGTAGGAATGTACTGTACTGCTGCTGTTCCCTCGGCCCTTAGAGGAGGAGGAGCTGCGTGACTCCATCAGAAATCCAACTTCAGCTCCCACAGCGGGGAAGCTGCTTCAGGGACACGGCTGTCATCACATGCCCCGCCATCCCCGTCGCCCTTGCGGTGGGCCATCAGTTCCAGCCAGCAGCATTGTTTTGACAGAGCTGTTCTGTGGTGTCAGCACCGGGTGCCTCTGGGGAGCCGGCACGGCCGGGATTTCTGAGGCGGCTATTGTTGGTGAAGGGGCTGCTGGGCCGCGGCCAGGCGCGAGGCACCACAGCCCTACGGCCTTGAGCGGGCCGCCTCGCCCGCCACAGCTGCGGCCGCTCTGGGCTCCTGCCTGGCACTTGCAGAAATCGCTGTGGAATTTGCTGATTCTGCCAGAGCGGAGCTAAACACTTGTTCCCAAGTGGTATGGCCCATCAGTACAGCTGCCGGTTACGAAAAACATGCGAGGGCTTTTATCCCTAATAATCGAGCTTTGTCAGAGTATTGCGAGCTCAAAATGGTCGGAGTAATGCTATCGTGGAGTACCTCCTTGCTTACCTTACGGAGAGCTTTTGCCCCTTGTGCTTCAGTTAAAATGTTCATCTATTATTGGCTGCTTAGCCAGAGGTGGAGGGGGAAGCTAAACTTTCCCTCTGTATTGCTGGTAAGAGTTAACTGGCACTGCCCAGCTGCGCTTTCAGAATATTCTGACCTATTTACACAACAGAACCGGTCAGAACAAAATAAATGGTTCTGGTGAAATACTGACTGCTGTATTGTAATAGTTACATTTGGCAGTGGGTATTCTCTTCATTTTTTCATACGTAGACAAAACCAAAATGCTGCCAAAACCTTAAGTATCAACCGTCAGCGAGTAGCTTGTTTCTTCTGGGACAGTTTGGTTGTCATTCACTTGGAACAAATGCTCATAAAGCAACTGACAAAAAAAGCTTATGAGTAGCTTCATCATTTTACCATGCAGAATAATCAATAATTGCATAATTTCCAGCAATTTACAGAATATATCTGCAAATATGGTGGATCTGCTCTCCAAGTGTAATCTCCTCAAAGAAGCATTAAGTAGGAAGCATGAAACTGTGGCAGACTGTAGGAAATGTTGGTTTCCTGCCTTTTTTTTTTTTCTGTTTTGTAATAGCTACAGGGACACTTGTAATTCCTCATTTTTATGTGGTATCCCTTAAGGAATGAATTGAGAAGGAACTAATGTTTCATTTTAGCTATTTGGACAATCATTCCATATTTCCTGAGCAACAAATGTTTGGTAGTTTGGAGGATACATTTGCTTGATGCTCAGGACAAGAGATCTCTTCTTCTATCTTGCACTTGGAATCCAGATTCTGAGAATACTAAAACAGAGTTGTTTGTTTTTTTTTTTAACATGTCTTTTTTTTTCCTTCCTAATTCTGTTTAGCGATAGTCCCAATGCTGTCCATGAGGTGGATAAGTGGTTACCACGACTGCACTCAGTTGTCATAGGACCTGGCTTAGGCAGAGACGAAGCTCTACTTGAGAATGCTAAGGTAATATGTTTACTAAGGTTTTATTCCCTATCTTCATGTTAAATTTCATTAACCAATTTCGTATCTTTTGCTTGATTACACCAATGTTTCTGATTAAGGTTACTAACTCACAGATTAAATAAAATTGTTGCAATATACTTCCATAATTGAAAGGAGTCTCTGTGATATTTTCCACAGTTCATTCTCGCCCACTTTCTTAAAAAATCGACATAAAATTGGTTCTTTTTGTTTGATTTTTATTTTTGTGTCGTTGGGTTTTTGTTTGTTTGTTAATGAATGGCTAGTATTTATTGTAGCAATTGTAATTTAAAGGGAAGAGAACTGGGTATTGTTGACAGAAAATTGAACTGTTAATTATGGTCTTCATTATTAAAATTCAGAGGGATATTTTAAGTTCAGAGACCCACATGGTTGTTTTGATTTGCTTTTTTTTTCATTGTTAAAGTTGCTAATTAGAAATAGTTATTGGCATCTCTAGGTTAAGGGCTCTCTGTTTCCTTAGGTGCTGAACACCTGTTACTGTAAGAACCTCAGTATGAATTTGAGTTTGTAATTTTAGGAACTATATTTGGCAGCATGTGCCAGGAGGGGTACCAAAGAACAGAGATTGCGTCCCCTTGCAATAAGAAATAATAGTCTTAACTGTAAAATGTTGCAGAATTCTACTCTGGATAAAGAAATAATCCTATTTTCTCTCAAGTCTTAATGTTGACTGAAAACAGGAGCTTAGATAGCTCTGTATGTTAAGCAATAGGCACCCACACAGCCTTCCAGATGTCCTGTGTTACTCCCAACATAATAATCTTTGCATATTCAGAGTGTATGTTTCAGTTCAAACAAAATTAGGTTGCTATTAATTTTAAAAAGTCTGAGAAGTTACACTGAATTAATCAATGGTACTAACAAGTGGAATCAATAGAATTTACAGGAGTGTTGGAAGTTAAACAGTGGATTTACAAAGCATAAGAAGCAAGAGATTAAAGCCCATCCAAGCCTGTCCAAGACATGTAGAATGCCTTGATAGTAGAGGAGGTTATTTTTACTAAGCTTTTGTTAGAAAAGTTGCCTTTGAAAGTTCTTCACTCCTTTAAACCTCCTTTCAAAAAATGTCTTTTATGACATAGAGATACAAAACTAATAAAAACCACGGATTCAGAGTGGCAATAAAGGAATTTAATACAGCTGATAATAAAGCAAATTTGATCCTAAATGAAAACTTTCATCAAAGATTTGATAAAGTAGAACTTTATTAAGAATTTTTTTTCCAGCAAAAAGATTTGAGCGATGCTTTTTCTTTTTTTATTCTTACTTTTCTTTCTAAAGAAAAGTGACTTTAAACAAAAGTAAATAACATTTTGTTTAGAATATCTAAAATACTTAAGCTTCTTCAGTATAAAAATTCCATCTGGATTTTAAAGATATCTGTCATGTTCTTATCTGCATTACAGGAGTATCTGCAAGATTCCTTTTCTTTATTAAAGATGGTCTTCTCTATTGCTAAAATCAATTTTTACTTTCTTAGTAAATTATAGTCATGCTTTTACTCCAGCTTGAGTATGCTTGTTGAGCTTACTTGCAGTTAACAAAACAAATACAGCCAATGAAGACCAGCCATTTGGAAGTTCTTCATGCTAAAATTTAGGGCTATGTTTATGTGAGCTGTAGGTCTGACCTTGCTGATTTCAAGCCACATTAAAGCTCAAGTTCTTTGTCTTTGCTATAATTATATGAATGTTAGTTAGTTATCCAGTTACATCTGTTTTGGTTTTTTTGCTTGTTTGAATCCCACAACCATTATCTCCTAAATTCTTCATTCAACCAAAAGCTTAAATAAGTGCATATAACTGGGGGCAAGTGAACACTGGTTGCATGCTTAAGTAAGGCTGGTGTTTCTCTGTGCTGAGGAAAGGCTGTCTCCCTCTTGTTTCTGCAGAGAGTTTTAAGCTTTGTATCACTCTTCACCTTCCAAAAACCAAGCAAGTGATGATAGCACTGCTATATTAAACTTTTCTAAAACGCTGGCTGAGTGTGTAATTCTCTCTCATCTCTTTAAGGTAACCTCAGCATGCTGTCATTTGAGTACATTGCTGAGATGTAGATTAGCATCTGCTTTTGTTTCAGGGTTTTGTATCAGAGTGGCAGTGACAATGAGAGGTTTCCTCTGTTCCTCTTTCCTCATTGAAGTAATGAGGCTTAGTGGTCCATCGCCTCTCAGATGCTGTTTCTATCTGGGTCGTGTCAGAATTGTACAGACATTGTCAGCAAATGTATTTGTCCAAACAGGCACGTGTTTGCTTTTTTTTCTCTCTTCTGAGCTTTGAGAAATCAAGATACTAATTCAGTATTCTGCAGTTTCTGGTATCAGACAATGGACAGCGATTTATTGTGAAATAGCTGTAATATTTGTTGACAAGAGTATATACCTTGTCACTCGAAACCAGAGACTACTTTGCTTTCATGTTGCCATAGAATCATAGAATGGCTTATGTTGGAATGAACCTTAAAGATCACAGAATCACAGAATTGTAGAAGCTGGAAGGAGCCTCTAGATATCATCGAGTCCAACTCCCCTGCAAAGCAGGTGCCCTATAGCAGGCTGTACAGGTAGGCATCCAGGTGGGCCTTGAATATCTCCAGAGGAAAATCCACAACTCCCAGTTATTCCAGTGCTCCATCACCCTCACTGTGAAGAAATTCCTTTGCATGTTGGTGTGGAACTTCCTATGCTCCAGTTTATGGCCATTTCCCCTTGCTCTGTCCCTGCAGACCACTGAAAAGAGGTTGGCCGTGTCCCTTTGATGCCCACACTTAAGATATTTATAAACATTAATAAGATCACCTCTGAGTCTAAAGGCTAAACAGACCCAGATAACTCAGCCTTTCATCACAGAGGAGATGCTCCAGGCCCTTTAACATCTTCATGGCCCTCTGCTGGACTCTGTCTGGGAGATCCCTGTCTTTTTTTGTACTGGGGAGTCCAGAACTAGATACAGTACTCCAGGTGAGGGTGAGGCTTGAGCAGGGCAGAGTAGAGGGGGAGGATCACCTCCCTTGACAAGCTCCAAACCCCCCACTGTGGACAGAGCTGCCCCCCACCAGCTCAAGCTGCCCGGGGCCCCATCCAACCTGGCCTTGAGTGCCTCCAGAGATGGGGCACCACAGCTTCTCTGGGCAGCTCTGTCAGTGCCTCACTGCCCCCTGAATAAAGAATTTTCACCTAATAGCTAACCTATTTTTCCCCTCTTTTAGTTTAAAGTCATTCCTCCTTGTTCTGTCACTATTAGACTGTATAAAATGTCGCTCCCCTTCCTGCTCATAAGCTCCTTTAAGTACTGGAAGGCAACAATGACGTCTCTCTTGAGCCTTCTCCAAGCTAAAGAAACCCAATTCCCACAACCTTTTGCTGTAAGAGAGCCCTCTGATCACATTTATGGCCCTTCTCTGGACTTGCTCCAACAGCTCTGCATCCTTCTTTTGTGGGGGCCCAAGACCTGGACACAGGTTGACCTCAAAAGACTTGAAAGGTGGGCTCGGGTGAATCTAATGAGGATCAACACAGCAAAGTGCGAGGTTTTGCACTTGACCCAGAGGCATCCCAGGCATCCATACAGACTGGAAGGAGCAGTTCTTGAGAGCAGCCCTCCAGAGAAGGACCTGGGGGTCCTGGTGGATGAAAAATTTAGCATGAGCCAGCAGCGTGCTCTTGCAGCTCAGAAAGCAAATGGTATCCTGGGCTCCATCAAAAGAGAGGTGGCCAGCAGGGACAGGGAGGTGATTGTCCCCCTCTACTCTGCTCTTGTGAGGCCCCATCTGGAATACTGCGTCCAGGTGTGGTGCCCCCAGTACAAGAAAGACATGGGGCTGTTGGAGAGGGTCCAGAGGAGAGCCACGAAGATGATCAGGGGACTGGAGCACCTCCCCTACAAAGACAGGCTGAGAGAGCTGGGCTTGTTCAGCCTGGAGAAAAGGCGGCTGTGGGGTGACCTCATTGCAGTCTTCCAGTACCTAAAGGGAGCCTACAGAGGGGAGGGGAATCAACTTTTTGAAAGGGTAGATAACAGCAGGACGAGAGGAAATGGTTTTAAGTTGAGGGAGGGAAGATTTAGGTTGGATGTTAGGGGGAAGTTCTTTTCAGAGAGAGTGGTGAAGTGCTGGAACAGGCTGCACAGAGAGGTTGATAGGTATGCCCCCATCTCTCAAGGTGTTTGAGGCCAGGTTGGATGGGGCCCTGGGCAGCCTGGTCCAGTATTAAATGTGGAGGTTGGTGGCCCTGCGTGTGGCAGGGGGGTTGGAGATTCATGATCCTTGAAGTCCCTTCCAACCTGTGCCATTCTGTGATTCTGTATCTTGATGAGACGCCCACTTCCTTCTCGCTTATGGAATCATGGGATTGTTTGAGATTAAAGAGACTTTAAAGATCTTCTAGTCCAACTCCCCTGCAGTGAGCAGGAACACCTACAGCTCGATCAGGTTGCTCAGGGCCTGGTCCAGCCTGACCTTGCACGTCTCTAGGGGGAGTGCATTCACCATGTCTTTGGGCAACCTGTTCCAATGCTTCACTACACTTATTGTAAATTTTTTTTTCCTTATATCCAGCCTAAATTTCCCCTGCTTTAGTTTGAAACCATTTCCACTTGTCCTATCACAACAGACTACTAAGAAGTCTGTCCCCTTCTTTTCCGTAGCCTCCCTTCAGACACAGAAAGGACGCTGTCTTAATGCCCTCAATGGGTGTGGTGTTTCAGGTCCTTTCAGCAACCTAGTGGAAAAGAAGCATTTTATGATCAGTTTCCTGTTATGCTTTTCTTGAGTGTAGTGATACTCTTTGAAGACATACTCTTAGGTTTCCTATGGTTAACTGATTTTGGTTGTAGTTCCATTTACAAGACCTGCTACGAGAAGCTACTCAAAAAGTTATATGTCACTCTCTTGTGTGAGCCTGTGCTAAAACTTTTACATACTACTCCTCAGCTGCCTGGGTGAGATCTGATGCTTCCTAG